CAGGACGCATACAGCGCCTGTGCGATCCTCCAGGAGCAGCTGGAGCGTCGCGCAGACACTAGTACGCATGCGTGCACCGCGTGCATACACAAGGACGCCGCCGGCCCCGTTCCAACTGAACTGGTTGGAACGGGGCGAGAAACCCACCCCTGCATCAAATGGATCCTAGGACAGCAAAGATGACCAATCAGCAAGTACTGGAGGGCATAACCGCAGATAGGACATTAGAAGGCAAAGATTACAAAGCTGCATCTCATTTACTTTGGCCATATCAGGCGGTGTGGGTGAGAGGGGGAAGCAATTATGTCGGGAAGAATCCATTTTAAACAGGGGTGAGATTGAAAAGTGTTAGCAACCGGTTCTCTGCACGGTTGCTGGGTGGGCGTGGCCATGGAGGCGTGGCCTAGTTGGCTTCCTGCTACATGGGGGCAGGGTGGGATTTTCACCCTCCCCAGGCTCCGGAGGCTTTCCTCAAGCCTCCGGGAGGGCGAAAATGGCCTCCCCTGGGCTCCGGAAGTCCTCCGGAGGCTGGAAATGGACTCATTTCTGACACTTTCACTAGGTCTGTTTTTCGCCCTAACATAGCCTCCGCACGGACCCTGAACTTAGCTGGCATGCAAAATGGGCTGCGTGGAGACTCCTGGGAGGGGCGGAGTGGGGTGGGCGGGGGTCAGCCAGTCGTTGCAAACACCGGTTCAGCGAACCAGATTAAAATGAACATCACCCGAACCGGTCCGAACCAGCTGAATCCCACTCCTGATTTTAAATCCTCATTTAAAAGATAAACTTAGTCAACTGGCTAGAAGATCAAAACTTCTGCAAAATTAAACGGGACCGTCCGTATATTAAATGCATTTATACAAATTTATGTCTCGGGACAGCGGAGGGGATTTTAACAAGCAAGTACTGGAAGAGCTCACACCAGTCATGTCACCGGAAGGCAAAAGTCACAAAACTGAGTCTCATTTATTTTGGCCACGTCCTGTGGAGGAATTCTATGGAGACAGCAATTATGCTTGGAGGAGCTATCGGAAAAAGGGAACCAGGCCTCCAAAGAACACTGTGGCTGGACACCATCAAAGCTGACACCAGCCAGAGCATGGAACAACTCAAAGAAATAGTAGTAGGTTGTCTATGGAGGTTCTCAGTCATCCAGGTCATGGTTGTCCCAAAGGTGCTTTTTCAAGAGGCAACTGGATTTCCTGTTTTTTCTTTGAAGATGTTTCGCTCTGCTCAGGAAGCTTCTTGGAGGAAAAGCAAAACATCTTCAAAGAAAAACCAGAAAGTCCAGTTACCTCTTGAAAAAAGCACCTTTGGGATAGCGCAAGGTTGGAAGATTTGGAGACATCTGGTCCATAGAATCCCCGGCTCAAGGTTGATCGAGCCAAGGTGGCGCAGTGGGTAGAGTGCAGTACTGCAGGCCACTTCAGCTGACTGCTAGTTCAGCAGTTCAGTGGTTCAAATCTCACTGGCTCAGGGTTGACTCAGCTTTCCATCCTTCCGAGGTGGGTGAAATGAGGACCCAGACTGTGGGG